AAATTGGTGTTTTTGTTATTGATCATTTTACATTTTATGTACTTGAATTTCTTGAAAAATTAAAACAAGATTCACAAAAAACAATTGATGATTTTTTTCATTGTTGTCCAAAACATTTATGTATATCTGAAGTAACATGGAGAACAGATTTATTTACAAAACGTGATTATCATAAAACACTTTTAACAGATTTTATTGGTAATGTTCGACGAACAGAAATTGTTAAATTAGATAATCAATTATTAGATAATATATTTATAAATACAACAATAAATCAATCATTTAATAAACAAGATGAATCAAAACAAGAATATGCTTATATTTCACAAATGCCAATTTAGAACTAATCTGTGATTTGAATTTGTAAATAGTTAGTTATTGTTCTTTTTCCATTATAGAACGTCAAAAAAAAAAAAACACACCAATGTCCAATCAATTTTTCTTTTTTTTTTTTTTTTAGAACAAAAACCATTTTTGCTTTGTTTGTTATCAAAATTTACAAAGAGATTACGGAGAAATTGTTGAAATAACAAATTTTCGCTCGATTCATAGGTCATCATTAGTCATAAAAAATAAAAATATTTATATAAAACTCTTCTTTTTCTTTCAAGATGTATTCTTTTTTTTTTGCTGATCAATATATGAATCATGATGACATGGCTTCCGACATCTTTATAAATAAAGTGCACATTATTAATCACTCTTTCTTTCGATAATAGTAGCTTCTCGCTCTCACGTATTTGACAGCTTAATGGTGAATACTTACACATACATTTTTATTCACGTAAAGAGTAGACAGACGTATCGAGGCTCTGAGGAGAACATACGTTATAGTATACTAAAACAGTGATTTCCACGTGGAAAAAGAAAACCCCGTTAAGTAAATAGTTGTTTGCTACGATTTATTTCAAAAGATTAGTTGATGTTTATGCAGTTAACCTTCAACAAATCTATCAGATTATTGAAAGTCTCTACTCCTACATAGTCATTAGTTCATTCTTTAAGTTAAGATCTGTTGTTTTTTTTTCCTTTATTAAACAAATGTCCTTGCATGATCAGTTCTGCCTACCAATAAAAGCATATAATTAAATATCATCTATTTTTGTTTTTACCCAAAGAGGAAAAAAACTACTGTACTTAGTAAATGTAAAAGAAAATAAGTATATTTTTAGATTAAGATAGTTGCATTTTCTTTTTCTTATCTAAAAAGTTTTGACTCGAACGACAAGTACGATGAAATAAATAGCAGAGAAAGATAAATTTCAAACTTCATATCAACAATTTTTGTCTATTACATTTTAAAGACATAAAATTGTATCGCATAAACATCAATCAATTTCAGATATTTTAAATATGATTTTCATTTTTAATGTGACATAACACATAAAAGAAAATAAATCAGATAAAGATCAATCAAATTTAAACAATTGCTTAGTTTATTTCTCGTCTTATAAATCGATTATTTATTTGTCTTTCGGTTTTTGTGCGTAGAAAAGGAAAAATCCTATAAGAAACGTCATGTTGTTATTTTTAAAAGAAGGCTACCTGATCTTTTTTTTTTTTTTATTGACCTAAGTTTAAACAACAGATATATTCGATGCAGTGTAATAGAAAGAAATATTTTATATAGGTAATAAATATATAAAATGAATCATATATAATATTTATTGTTTTAGATTTATTTTCTTTTATTCATTAACAGTGATCTGTTTTTTTCGAAGACCAAGCATTTATGGGTATGTTTTGTTTTTATCTAGGTTATTTATATGATCGTCGGGTCATGGGAGAACATAGATGGGTTTTAACCATCGTTTTTTTTTGTTGATACGCGATCTTTGTTTTTACACATCTCTTCCTACAAGCCAATCAAATCGTTCGATCGCGTTTTTTTCTTTCTTTCTTTCATGTAGCGGAGTATATTCTATAGATAACCTTCGCCTTCACCACATAGAAGTTTGATGAGAGAATGGAGCATATGTTAAACGTTCCTATTTACATTTTTTCAATTACCATTAACAGTGAAGGTTTTTGTTAGCACTCACAATTAGGTTTAATGCGTTCATTTTAAATATATATTGTCTGTTGTTATTCATAGTAAGAAAAATCGTCTTGAATATTTCATTATCATTGAAGTTCTTCTTTTGTAACATGTACTGATACGTGTCATATGATTCATTAGATTACATAAGTTTACAACTGATACTGACGTGTAAAAGTCTTTGTTTCGTTTTATTTTTTTAGTAAAACGTATAAATGTTATATAATTATTACAAAACTTAAATAGAGATGACTTCAATAACACGTAAAGTTATTTCAACAATTACAACAGCTTATAGAAATATCAATCCGTCTACACTTAATGGTAGATATTATTAAATATTGATTAGGGTTTTCTTTTTTTAAGTTGTGTTTTTGTTTTCAATAGGTGCAATTGATATTATTGTTGTCCAACAAGAAGATGGAACACTTCGTTGTACACCATTTCATGTTCGTTTTGGAAAATTAGGTGTTTTACAAAGTTTACAACATAAAGTAAATAAATAAAACGAAATTCTCAAACTTATTTAATTAATATAAACCATAATTAAGATCATATTTTTATAAATAGTTTGTCAATGAAGAAATATTTTACCTTCTATCTAGGAAAGTTTTTTTTAACCTCTAATCAAGAATCTATAAAAGATATTTAATATAATACTATACATATTCTAGTGACAGCATCAAGGTTACCATGTGTAATATTCCATTTAGAGTTTGAGTAGGTGTAAGGTCAATAAGTGTAGATTTACTCATACACTGGATCAAATATATTCTACCTAAGGAAAAATATAACTGCATACAATAATAAGTTAATTGTAAAGGTACTTTTTTGTAATAAAAAAAAAAAACGAACAGTAAAGTTAATTTCTAATAGAAATAAGTGAAATTGAATGTAGTTCCCTATAAAAGAAATTTTGTTACAATAGTGGTCTCAGTTAACGTCTGTATCCGAGAAGAAAGGTCAGGACCTTCATTTATGGCCTCCACTGGTTCATATAGTATTAGTCAAAAATAGAGGACTAATTTATGATTGATTTTATTGTATTATATCAAACATTTAAACCAAATTTATGTAATAGTTTCAATAATCAATGGCATTTTCTATTTATATCTGTATATGAAACATAAATAGATATATTCTTGATTTAGGTTTACATAACGATAAATGATGTTCTTGTTGACGATTTATATATGCAATTAGGTGAAGCTGTCTTCGTTGAAGAAAATGAAGTATGTTAATTGAATAAAATTTCTTCAATAAATCCTTTGTTATCTCTATGTAGAATACACCTGTGATTCAACCTATTCGTCATATCGAACCATCAAATACAAATACATTTCTTGATCCTGATAATGTATTACCATCATCAACAGATGTCAATTCACATAAACATTTATCGAATATTGATTGTTCACCACAAATAATAAATAAACAACTTGATAAAAAAGAATCAAATGAAACTGATTCATCAAATGAAAATAATATCTTTGAACAAGATTCAAAACCAACAATAAATATTGATGTACTTCATTCCAATACATTTCTATCTACACGTCGTCGTCCAAAACGACGATTATTTAATCGTATAGATCAATTTAATAAACAAGCAAGTGAAGATGATGATCAAGATGTATTTAATCAATTTTCTTCATTAAAACGTCGTTCACGTGCACGTAAACGTGAATCAATACCAATACCAATAAATACAAATATAAATTCATTAGCATCTTCAACTAATAATGAAACACTTTCTAGGTCAATAAAACTTTTACGTAAACGTAGTGCTAGTGAAAATGATTTACCATTATTTCAATTTGATCCTGAATTAAGAGCATTTATTGATGAACCAAATCGTCTTCAGAGTATTGATAATCGACCCAAAACACTTGATTTAAATATCACAAATTATAATGAAGAAAATTTTACGATTCAAAATTTAGATAATATTGATCAAAAATTAATAAGAACATCATCAAATCCAATGGAAATCGAACAAAAATATGAACCAACAAAATCTATTGAACAATCAGATATATTAGATAATTCAGTTTTATCGAAGTCAGCACCATCCGATACAATCAATACAAATAATCTTCGTATAAGTCAATCAGAAGATCGTACAGATGATTTCTATAGACATGAAGAATATTCACCAACGTCACCTTATGAAAAGTAACAAAACGATTATTTTTTTTTTTTTTTTCATATAAATAAAAACTAAATATCAATATTTTTTTTAAGTGTTCTATCTCCACGACCAACTAGTCCAAAATCAGATACTGAATATGAATTAGATAAACCTTCACAACAATCATCAAATGTTCGTTGGCAATGGAAATGGGGTGAATTACCTGAACAACGACAAAGTGTTTTTCGATATTTATGGCCATCATCAAAAAAGAGTGCACCAAAAGAAGGTATATATCTTGATGAAATTACAAATAATCAATCTGTTGATAAATCACTCTATTTACCTCAATTGTAAGTGTTTACTTATATTTATTATTATCTCTATTTTGTATGAATAAAAATTTTATACAGAGATTATCATCAAAATCAACAACGAACAACTAATGATGATGATCAAGAATCAGGAACAGGAAATTCAATACCACAATCACCATTTCGAGAACATGAAGCATCGTATGTAGTTCTAACAAAATATTTATCAAACATTTTTTTCCAGATACAATAGTCAATTATATTTATAAGACAGTAGTTGGAGATAAACAGAATAGTAAATATAATTAAACACTGGACTATTGATGACACATCAAAGCGTCGATAAACTTTTTTTCGTATAAGATCTATTCGAAGATTAATGTTATAAAGAATTCGAATCTTTTGAAATCATCTATGAATAATATGCAGAAAAAATCGATATTATATAAAAATAACTTATCATGATGAATAAAGTCTTATTTTGTCTCTTCTATCGTTTTGATAAAGTATTTTTCTTTTAGAATCAATCGTGTAAAAGAAAAACAACGGTAACGATAGTTAATTTGTACAAAAAAATTCATTTATTCTAATTTATAATTATAAAAAAAAAAAAAGCTCTTAGGACAATCCCTATGAGGATTAAAATTTGAAAACGAATGTAGTTTGCTCTTGCTAATCACAAGAAAATATTTTTATTTTATCTATTTTTGAACGCATTGCTTCAATATTATTTTACTTAATTCTTCACCAATTTAATGTCCAAGTAGTTCATACACTAAAATAAAACACTATTGATATGCCATCTTTGATCATATCTATTAAAAAATATCTGTCATAGTCGGTGAAGGAAAGATCAATCTAAATTCCTACTTCTATCTATGCCTCAGCACTCTTTCTAGATTGTGTTTTATCAAAAAAAAATCAGTTCTATTAGAGAAAGGAGGGATCCACTTAAGACCACAAATCCGCCCACTCACTTTTTTCAACAGATTCGTTTAGGAACTGTATATACCGATAGATGTCAACACGTTGAACACTCTGATCTGGTTTTAACGACATAGTGAATGTAATTTCATAGCTCATTTTCATTATTTTTTTT